CAATGCAGGCACAAGACTGCCCCATTCTCTTGCCAGCATCCAAAGAAGTACAGCAAGGAGGTGGCTTACACATTTGTTACTCATAGCTCCTATTGTCTATCATCTGCCTACATTAACTCTTTGCTACCTCTTTTCTCAGGAAATCCTCTTAATGTGTTCCCTTATTTGAAGCTTTTATTGACTCATCCCAAAGCTTATTTCAACTCACTAATTTTGGAGAACAATTTAAAACTAAGCTGTTCCTTAGTATATTTACTGGTTATTATATTGTCCATGGAAAAAAAGCAACCACATTTACTATTAGTTCACTCTCAGTTTTCCATCTCACTCTCTAGCATTCATGGGAAGTTTCTAAAGTAAAGCTTTGAGATCTGGTTAGTTGTGAATTTCCATTTAATTACAGGTCATGGTAAAGGAGGTAAGATAACTCCCCTACATATATTAACAAATGCAGGCATCAAAGCTTCAGGAGCACAGTGTGCGGAGGCAAGCCTCTTGCTGGCAACCCATCAGGCAGCCTAGACCCAAACACCAGCAATCCCTTGTACAGCACCATTAATAAAGAGAGGGAGCTGATGAAGAAGAGGGGTGACTGGAAGACTGAACAAGACAAATTTGAACAGGATTTAATGCTGGGTTTAGACAAGTTATTTCTGGGAAAGCAGAAAAAAAGAAGTCGAGGTTTTCCAGTTACTGTATGTGACACTACCACTTCCATTTTTATGACAGCTGCTTTATAAAAACCTGCTTGTGGTCTGCTTTAACTTCTTTTTTCTTATACCAAATACCCTTAAAATATTAAACAAGCCAGCAGGAGGGAATCCTTTTCAAGCCAGAACTTATCAGGTACTAGTTGTTAATTTAATCATGGGAGAGATCCATCTTTAATTTGGCCATCTTCTTTTACACTGCTAATTAGGTAGCTTTTTCGCTTATTAGTTGAACCTAATCATTCCGTTTGGATTAAGTCACAGTGTCATGTCAGAACACAGTGCTGGGTTCTCCAAGGAACCATGGCTGGGTGTGGTAACATACTTTGTTCTGCTTCTGCAGAGAACCCCCACACGAAGATGTGGAAAAGCAATCCAGCTCAAGACACTGGACCTTTCAGAAGTGTGGGAAAGATGGGTTTAACATGTGTCTAACTGTCACTATCATCAAAGTTCATCAGTTTAACTCCTTGCAGACAAGAAGCCGACTCTCTGAGCAGGAAGCTGTTTGGTGGAACTCCTGATGCAATACAAACTGAAGCAGTTGCAGCTCAGTTTAATACAAACCCTCTAGAGTCCACGTTGACAAATTCTTTAACAAGCCCTGTGGTTACAGGGAAGCTGGTTTCAGTCTGAGTCACTCCTGTTCAAACAGTTTACTGGAAATGGAGGGGAGGGGGAATTTTCAGAGAAGTCATGTGATGGCCAGACAAACCACAACCAGTAAAGGTTCAGTGGAGTCAAAAACAGGTCCCAGCAACAACTGACGCTCAGTGTGCAGATGGCACTCAACCATTTACAAACGAGTCCTGCTGCATCTCAGCATTTCTATGGATTTAACCCTTTTCCAAGTTTGTATTCTTTCAGATCAGTATGGTTTGGAAAGCAAACAAACAGCACTGGCTGATAGTATCATAGGCAACTAGAAAATATTTTTACATGGAAATTTGGCTGCAGCAGCGCTGCACAGAAGCAAAGCCTGATGTGTAAATCATTAGTTCTTAAAAATATGCCACTTAATGAATCCAAACACTTACAGTCATTAAGGATTAGATATACAGCAAAGATATTAGCTCTTTCTCCTCTTAGCAAAAAGTACCATGATGGAGCAAGGGCCCACACATTACATGTTATCACTAAGTACCTTGAGGGAAGCTGGTATTAAAAGCTTCATTTTCACCAGAAACCTCTGTTGGCTTTAAGTGTTTCAGCATGACAGAGAAAAGATGAGAATACTTAACAATCAACAACTATTAAATTGGCAAAAGAGAGTCCCTGCTCACGTGCATGTAGACATGAAACTGTACAAAAGTATGCTTGCACTGTATCATTACCAATGTGCTGCCCCAGCACTAAGTAGTAGACTCACTTCCCCCTAATTGAGAGGTTGGTTTGAACGGCTACATTGGAGATACTGCCCATGGCTAAAAGGGGAGCTCTGATAAAAAACTCCTTTGCTCTGGAATTCAACTGAAAGAGAGTTAATATTAATGGAGATACCATTTCAAACATTTGCAATTTTCAAATACTGCCTCAAGTATTAACAAACCAGACCGGGTTGCTCTGTCTCTATAGCATGCTGGGCTCTGCATTGTGTGGAGCTCTGAGGGAAAAAAGAGCCCTGCTTGTAAACCACACTCCTTCTCGAGGGCAAAGTTGCTTGATCCCAACAACAGCAGCCACAAGGCAAGAGAAGCTCTGATGGTCCCTTTATGTAACTGGGACTAACTCACTGGTGTGCTCACCCAGGGACAAACAGAAAGGAGAAGTGACTGTTCCTTTAAAATGAGGGGCTTTTTCTGAAGTATGCTAATGGAAAGTACAAGACAGACTTACACATCATCTGCAAACTAATCAGTTTTCTCAAAGCCTAGCTCAAAGAGACAGGTCACTTAGATCTGAGATTTATGACAGAAAATCCATCAAGAGACTCTTTAAAGTAAATAGCATTTTATTCTCTGTAACTTGGAATGGGGCACTAAACCTTTAAGCTGTTTAATCCTTTTAGGTTCTTTTTTATGTTGTATTTTAAAGCACCAAGCCAGCAAGCACATTCCCCTCACAGATCCTTCAGGCTGGATGCTATATTCACGGCCTATTCTCACCATAGAAGAGCCTCATCTGTTTCTCAAAATTACCATTGTTTTTGAGAAATAGCAGCTACAAGCTTTCTAAACAAAACACACGCAGGCAGAAACGTCAAGCCATTTGGCTTTGCCTTGTAGGCATATAGCAGCTCAGCAGAAGTAGAGGGGGAAGCTATTCTTCCAAATCTAACACCCATTTTCGTGCCTTTCAAAAAGCAGGATGAAGCGAGACCTTTATCCTGAAAGAAGGCTCCTGTCACTTGACGTCAAACATTTGTAGCAGCCTCCATGGCGTAAGACACTTGTCACATCCCCCATGCTTTCTTAAGCATAAAGCTTCAACTTGGGAGAGTGAGAAAAGCTGGTGTAGGTAATAAAAATTGTTATTGAGCTATGTAAAAATAGACATCGTAACTGCTCATGAATAGGAATTCCAGAACAAAGTGATAAGCTACGCTGAAGACTGGGATTTACTAAAGGTCATAGGAGAAGGCAGGCCTGTCTCCCACAGACATCTAGCAAAAACACACTTGAAGCCAAAAGCAAAAAGGAAGTCATATTAGCAAATGGAAAAACCCGAACTGTCAGTTTTATGAGCACAATACAATTTAATCGGATTGTCAAAGCCTCATGTTAAAAGAGTTTTATAGAAACCAAACCGCAAGTGCAGTTTGAAAAGATGATTTTTTTTTTCCTGGCCATCCATCCACAGAACAACACGCTTCCATCCAAACCCAAGTGCCAAGAAAATAAAATCAAAAGTACTGGTAAACAGCACCATTGCTTCTCTCAATTACACACCACCGGTCGCTTACGAAGGGCACTCGATTCAGCTCGCTGTATTTTGGCCTGTCCTGACAAAATGCTCTCTAGCAAAGATTTTCTTCCCAAGAATCTTACTGTGTGCTCTGGAAACCACCTCTGGCTGCTCCCACAACTGTACACGCATATAATTTGCTGGGAGAGTTTCAGTAAACACAGATAGCGTTTCAGCTCTCGAGTCATGTATTCGACTGGTTTCGTTGGGCTTTTTTTTTACCACAACTTGATTTTTATACAGTTAGGGATTACTTTGCAAAGCAAAGACTGATGAGAGAGTAAAGCAAGCATATTCCCCCCCCCCCCACACACACACTGTACCTGTAAGGAAATACAAGGATTTACAATAAAAGAAAAAAAACCTTTGCAACTTTCTAGTAGGAGGAGGCTCTCAGGAAACACAGGGTGTACTGTCAGAATTACTAGATTGCACTCTGTATTTCCAGACAAGCCACTTTTTTTTCATGACAAAAGCTTCATCCATTCTTTGAAGAGGAAGAAAAAAGTAGAAGTATGTATCTGTATAAAGAAAATACTTTGGCAGAACAGTTTAAAGACAGCAGTCATGGTAAATAGCATCTGCTTTTTTAATAGCAGTCTCATGACCCATTTCAGTTCAGTGGCAGACAAAACAGGGTGAGAAGGAAAAATACCAAAGAGAAATTCAGTGGCAAGTAGTTTGAGGAAAAAATGTGACATTTCTTCTAATTGAAAACTTGCTGTGAACAGGATTTGAACTCCTGACCTGAATGAAAAGTTATCTGTAATAATACCTGACTGACGTACAGCATCAGTTGCAGACTATGTTGTAACACAAGCAGTTTTCAGTCCATCAAGAAAATAAATGACAAGAGAAACAAAAAAGGGATTCAGAGCAGTTTGGCTGCATTTGCACATCAGGAAAAATATGTTTCCTCAGGCTGACGAATGGGTCATGCACTAGCCCTGAGGATGTTAGTGGCAAAGCAGGCAAATGTCATCTGAAGGGGATGAGACGAAACTGAAAGTCATCCCCTGGCCCAGAGAGGCTTTAAATGCAGCTAGAACAACCATTATTATGGAATAGCACATCCTCTACCACTGTTCTCTTAGACTGCTTCCTCCCTGCCTTTACTGTGCTTGTTCTTGGAAGTCTAATTAAATGCAGTACTTGTAGCAAATACTTTGGCCACACTACTGTATCTGCTTCAACAAGCTGCATTCTTGTCTTCCCATCACCAGAGGTATCTCTGCCCTGTGGAGGATCTTTTTCCGTCCTTGGGAAGTCCCCTGTGAACTCACAACAACTGATTTTTGGCCCATTTCCACTTCATTGGAATGGTTATTTACTCCATCTAGTTGTTCCATGTTTTATTAATTGTCTGTTGTTTTGCACTGTTCTTACTTGTGCAGTCTCTGCATGTTCCAGCATCTCCTCAAATTCCTGGTACTCTTCATCATCAGGTTCAGCACCAGAGAGTCGGGCCGCCCTCGCCATAAAATATGGAGGCAGCTCTCCAATGGCTGTGCCAGCACCCTGGGAAAAGAATAATTCTGATTTATTTTTGTGTTTATTCTTAAATAGGAAACATGTGATATGCACAGCCCCGTGGACATTTCAAATGATGAGAACTGATGAGACCAGCTCATCAGTTTGCTTTTATCCACCAGGCCAGACTTCTCATGATTTCAAACATAATGCTGTTCCTTTGAAACCCCACCTTTCTCCTTTCCCTGTTTAGCAAAATGCAGTTTCTCTCAGCACAGACTATTGTGCTTCAAGTCAGTGGCTCCTGAGCCATGATCTGCAAGGTCAAAACGACGTGATCTGTGCCTCCCTGGGGCCCTGCAGAGTGGCACGTTGCCCAGCTCAGGCCGAGCTCTGGTGGACAGGCTGCAGCTTCTCACTGTGCTGCAGGCAGAGAGCCGGGGGCCCGGTGTCCCACACGATCCCTGACTCAGCACAGTGCTGCCATCTCACCCCACCGCATGATGCCAGACACATTTGCTGGCATGTGACAGCCCTTGCTCCTGAAGCAGCATTCGAAATAATCTGGGAACTCCTCCCTGGTGCTGTCATGCAGTTTACTTGTTCAGTCATGAGACATGGTGCAAGTGTTTATTAGAAACCAGGCTTGAGTTTTACTACAGCTATGGGCAAGGAAAATAAGGTTAAGCAAAGCATGCTTTTTTCTCTCCTTTAGATGGAATAAAAGAAGCCAAAAGAACCCGAGATGAAAGCATGGTTGCTTTCTCACCACAGGAAAATTATATTTGTTTTCTCAGGACATCAAATGACTCATTTCAATCTTGTGGGTAAAGGCAACTTCAGCTTAACCAAGGAAAAGAAAAGAGAAAAGAGAGACAGCTAAGAGTGAACATATGGATAAACAGAGGCTAATGAAACAGGAACTCGGACTAAACTCGGAATGGTTTAAATATAGGATAGGTAATAGTACAATAGTTGGGGACCACACTGGAAAAGTGTTAGAACTTTGCTACATGCAGATGGCTTTTCTCTCTTAGGATCAGTAGTAACAAATGCTTTTCTACTCCTTTGAAGAAGTGTGACAGCTTTTTGATTTCCTTTGTTCCTCCTCCATATGCAGCTGCAAGCAAGGGAGAATTCCAGCTGCTGTGGATATTCCAAATCAACAGGTTGTGGTTTTCAATACCACCACTCTCTGCAGTTACCTCACTGGTACATTCTTGGTTTAAGCATACAGAGTTCACAGCCTCACATGTTTATGCCCTTATTTTCCATAGAAGAAAACTTTAGACGAGTGCTACAAGCTGAACTTCATCAATCTATCTCTTTCTGGCACAAGGGCAGATAAGCCTGAAAACAGTAGCAACAACGCTTCAGAAAAATTAACTTGAGGTTATGTTCTCAGGGTGATGCAAGAACAAAAAGTCACATTGCTTCTCCCGGCTCTGCCAATTTGCTTTGGCTTCATTTTGTTAACCGAGGAAGAGGTTTGCATGTGTGTACTGGACATGAACTTGCTTTAAATTGGGTAAGTCACATGCTCTTTATTACTAAACATTTCAGAAGCGCAACAAAAATCATATGATTTAATGTCTGCTGGAGATAGGTTCCTTAAGTGCATCGAAAAAAAGGGCAGCAATCAAGGGATCCAAACCAGTCACTATTTAACTGCTTTTTTGTAACATGAGCTGTCCATTTTCACCATTGAACTTTACGTGACAGTTTTACATGGAGATTCCTTGGACTAGCAACATATTGGAAAGGCAAATGCTAATCAAAATACTTTTAAACAAATACATTTAGGGAAGGAAACTGGAACATTACTCCATTAGAAAGAGTCTTTTAAACAGATTTTACCCTGGTCAGGACACAGGCAGCCTGTTCTGCTAATCCTGGGCAATTAAACATTTTTATTCTTTCCCCTGATTTCTTGTAAAAACCAAAAAGAAAAAGCTGCAACGTTAAAAATGTAGGGCACTATTGAATTCCCTGTCCCTGTGGGATGGAAGGCTGTGAAAACTGGCATACACCTAGCAGATTGTTTTCGAGAGTCCTTCTGGAAGCCAGGACTGGTGGAGCCAACTTTTATAGTAATTGAAAAAAGCATCTCTTTCACTTCACCTAATAATTCCTTAGATAGTGATATTTAATCCTCATAACACTCACTATCAGCAAAAAAAAGGCTATCACTGACATGCAGGGGACTAATAATGATTTTAATCTCTGGAAAAAACTGTATCTGGTGCAAGTTGGCTGAAACAGCTGCCTATGTTTTTGTGATCTGAATCAAATCCCCCGGGCCGATAAATCCCTGCACTCAAATCTTGCAGGATACTTAGTCTGGGTAGCTTTAGTCAGAGGTCTGCAAAGTCCCCACTGGGACCGACCTGCTTTCACCATTTCACATGAGAACACATTGCTACCACCCTCCTGTCTCCCTCCAAATAATCAAGGAGATTGGCCAGATTTCATGTTGGAGCCTTTCAGCATAATTTCACTTGACGAGTTTAAAGACAACAGGCTGTTGGTGGTGGTGTGTCTGTTCTTCACAGGGCTCCATGTGTTGCATTAGGAGCACATCTATATGCATCCAATAATTCCTTTTCTTTTGCATTTATCCAGTATTTTTCATAATTCCAGATATTACATCTAAATAGAGTTGCTGGTTTTATTAAAAAACCAAAAATGATTTGAGCTCCTTCAATCATACCCAGACAAGGAATTAAACCTCATATTCCTGATTTCAGTGTAAATTGTTGGGGTTTTTTATACTAATGTTCCAATTTGCAGAAAATTGGCTTTTTTACCTTCTGGAAGTCACCATTACTTTCGTGTTAACTGGTTTTAAGAGTGCCAGGATAAAAAGTAAGTTTCTTCAACAGCTTCCATAAAAAGTGAACAGGAATTAGGACAAAAGAAATATACTGGAAGAAGCAGCAGCAATTGCCAACTTGATTTGGCTTACAGGAAATTAGCAAGCAATGTTTATGTACTCATGCAACATTCCAAGAAAGCATAACATTACACTAGACACCACTGGTAGACAGAGGATGCTCCCAAGGGAAAATCTAGTGGAGACAGAGTTCAGTGAAAAGGTAGCTGACAGAGAATTCGAAGGCGAGAAGAAAGGGGGGGATGGAGAGGGTTGGGGAAGGAAGAGAGTGGGATACAAACATTCTGGCTCTGTCCCATTCCCTTCTCCTTTTCCTAGCCTGAACCCAGAAATGCAGCTCAAACAGGAGACTGACAGTACTGTTTGCTCTCCCTCACGGCTACTTAGATGGATAAATACTTTCAACACTTGCAACTCTATTAACTCATTTCTAAACTACTTAATTCTCATCATAGTTCAGTTATTTTACTGAAGATTAAGCAATGGATGTTTACTCAGAGCTACATTTTTTTTTTCAACCCTAGAAACGTAATTGTAAATGCCATTTTTATTACTCCAGTCTCCATTAAACGAACTTAAACACAGGAGGATGAGGAAGAAAACAAAGAGAAATCTTGTATTTATGGTCTTACAAGTACTTGTATGTTTAGCTACTTATCATGCATTCAGGCAATTCTGTCCTTTCCTTAGAAAGAATGAAATTTAAGATGTACTTTGCTTCTTGAGAGGGCTGTAAGTCCACTTACTCAGTTACTATTTTGACTTTGATACTGCTATACATTAGTCTGTAATGTGTGCAACCTAACCCAAATTTTTCTAAGTAACACAGCTGATGGTGATTTTTTAAGAGTCACAGTGACCAAAGTTGCCTTAATGTATCTTTCCATATCATTAGAAGGAATACAAGGGCAGACATCACATCCCATGTGTTCTCAGAATTTCCTCTCTCCATTTGAATTGTACAACTAAGAATAATTAAATCATCAGCTAGAACAGGAAACTGAGTAAAATAAAGTTAATTTGGCATATAGCTCACAGCAGATGCATCTGTGTCAACTGCAATTCAAAATAATCTACAGGGCATGAAGAAAACATCTTAGCTGACCAAAATCCTTCCAGAACCCCCAAACTTCTATAAAAAGAGCTGTGGGAGGGGGGGTGGGGGGGGTGGAAGGGAAGGACAACAGAAAGGAAGTTCCAATCGCAGCGTTTCCTCAGACCCTGATTCACTGAAAAGCTAACCTGCTTTTCCTGTTTTAGTGAAAAGTTTGCCATGAGGGAACCAGGCAAAGAAACAGAAATAAAATACATAAAGATATACGCCATAAAACTCTGATTTAATCCAATCTACCAATGCAACCCAGAAGAATATTTCAGCTGCGATATTAGGGGCTGAGTCCTTCCTTTGAGTAACTGCAACTTCAGTTACAGGCTCCAAATTTCCTAAATCGTTTCTTGCTTAACTGCATGCAGTGTAAGACCTGACATCTGCAGGATCATTTGGGATGCAGATACCCTTTCTGAAACTTACCTTCTACACCAACAGCTTTGAAGCACATGAGCCTTTTCTGCTAGCATTTAGAGAAGTAATCAGCACTGCAGTTGATAAAAGGCTGCTCAATAATATCCTATTACTTCTCTTTAAAGGCATTAAAATTATTCAGGGCTAGAAGGTTGATCAGGAAAGCATCTATTCACATTATATATAAACATGAAGCTGCTGGCAGTGCAAATCATCACTATTTTGCTAATTCAGTAATTTGTGTGTTTGTTGGACACAAATTATTGCTGGACACAGAAATTAAGTGCATAAGTTAAAACTGCTCAATTTTTATAAACCAATGCTTACCCACATGCAGGCCTCCAGCCTGACTTTTGAGATGATAGCCCATAAAGAAATGGATCCTTCAGTTGCCTCCACATCAGGGCAGATAATCTGATCCGGGTAAGGAGGCTCAGGAAAATTAACCGAGTTACATTCATATGCAGCAAGAGTAACTGATGCTATGTGTGGACCCTGAAAAAAAACACAAATTCAGATGCATTTTTTGTCACTTTTAAGAAAAGCTAAAATTAAAACCCCACCTTAGTCCCTGATGCACAGAGCCTAAACTAAAATTCAGTGTTTCTTACTCTGGCTATTAATAATGCTACCTATGTAAAAAGTTGTGGGTTTTGGGTTAAGGAGCCTTTCAGCTTTTGCCATGCCATTGTATACTAGTATGAAGTTATCAAGGACAAATGAGAATCCCTACTTCTTAGAACCAGGAAAATTAGCAAAACTTTAAAATGTTCTCCTTCAGGTATTTATGAGCTACAGCTTTATTAGAGCAGGTGTTTTCCCTACTGCTGCTTTTAGAGGATGGAGGCATTTAAATGCTGTATTACATTTTCCTTTAACAACTGGTCCTTTACAACACCTTACAGTGAATTCCTTAACTTTTGGGTTTTTCTTGAAAAAAGCAGCTGCTGACTTTGTGCCAGTTTTCTGCATATACACAAGAACGACCTTTCTGCTGTTTTGGTTTGAAATAGAATTCAAAACTTAAACGTTATTTAAATGACATATAATTGAATTACTACTAGTCTCCATCTTACAGGACAACATTATTTCGGAGAGACCTCCAAATAAAACTAGCACACAAATCTATTCAAGAATTGAATTGCTACATATTTAAAAAACCTGAAAGAATTACCATTATTTTAATACAATAGAAGTGAGAAGCAATTCTGATAGTCTATGGCCTGAACCCTAGACTTGTAGCTAAAAAAGAAATCCCTTCACAAAAGATCAGGGTAGCATTGTCTGGGGAAGAAGGAAAAGTACGGAAAGGAACTAAGAAGAGAAGTACTGAACTGAACTAAGTCCATAAAGTTGCAGATTCACAGAAATCTTAAAGTTTTCTTTACGTGCAGATCAAATTACACAAAGCTTGACTTCTGCTATTAATTATTTCATGGGTTTTAACATCATGTTGGGAAACGTATTGTCAACTATTTTCTTTTACGTGTTTTCCCTTAAATGAGTCATATTTATTAGACCAATAAGGGACCCACCCAAATCAAAGCTAAATTTCTTACAGAATAGTGAGCGAGATAAAACCTCAGCACTCCATTCCCCTGCACAGCACTTCCAAAGCTCACTTTGAAATGTAGGAGCCAGAGATGTATGCAGAGGACCCTGCAGGTTTCATTTGCACATTAAAGGGTGAAATTCCACAGCGGGTCTCACATAAAAGGTGAATCCATTGCATTTTCTAGACTTGCTGGGAAGAAGATTTCAGTTGGGTTCAGTTACATCAACATTTCAGGTCAGAGTGGAGAGACCAGAGCACTGGACTTATGCAATTACATTGAAACTGTGATCTTCTAGTGGCAGTGAAATAAGAATGTTGCAGAAAAACACCCCAAACCAGTTGTATTTTCTGTATGACAGTTGTGACTACTGTTGTCACACGTAAACAATGCAAAACAAAACCATTCTTATGGCATGCAATCAGTACAAGCCAAGCTGCTCTGATACCAAACAAATTATTTTATTTATTCCTTGTTACAGGAGAATAATTCAAAGTGCTTTGGTGTACTATGGGTTATATGAATACACAGATAGACACAGCCTGCTGAGATGGTGAGGCACACTCTGTCTTGGCAAAGGTTCATTGAAGTAAGACTGAAAAAGAAGGGATCCAGAAGTTGATATACAAAAGTGATTTTGATATGGAATGGAGAACAAAGAACGGATGAATGAACCAATGACTGATAAGATACAGTATTGAAGTTTCTATAGGCCTCAGAGGCAATGAACTCCTTTTTGGTGCTTGTAGAAAGTTCATCCCCATCCCCAGCAGCTTCATATCTAAACAAAAAACACATCTCTTTTACTCAACGAGGACAGACTCAAAGAGAGTAGAAACTTTCCTAAAATGGTAAAGTACATTCATAGCAAACCTGGGAACCTCTTTCTTCACCGTACGCTGAAATTTAGGGAACTTGATCCCCTACCCTGCTTGCCCCTCCCCAGTTGGACCTCGGACAAAACAGGTCTCAAGCCATCTTCCTTAAATGAATGGTTTTCACCAGTAGAAATTTGCAATAAAACGCTCTTGAATAGCAAATCTGCATGGAGGAAATCCCCACTGTACTTGAGTTGTACATGACCACTTTCTATGTTCCCCTGAGAGTAAGGGTAAGGTTGTTGCCAAGGCAGTGAGATATGGTGTGTGAATTAAGTATAGTTTTCAGTTCCACAAAATTTGGAAGACATACCCCAGTACAGTCTAACTACAGCCAGCTGCAATGGGAGACTTAGTTTCAGTTTTACAACAGTAAGAGACAAATTTAACCACGACTATAGCAAGGCCTCCACCCCCTTGCAAGGTTTCAGTGTTATTACCAGCATTTCTTCTCAAACTGCACACAGGGTGGACAAACACAAGATACAACTGCAGGACAGCAAGCAATGACAAAATGCCTAACTGGAGACTGCTTGCTCCATGAGCATCTTAGAATCATAGAATGATAGAATCAGGTAGGTTGGAAAAGACCTCTGAGATCATCAAGTCCAACCTCTACCCCAGCACTGACAAGACCTCCACTAAGCCATGGTACTAAGGGCCTCATCTGCATGTTTTCTGAACACTTCCAGGGATGGTGATTCCAGCACTGCCCTGGACTGCCTGTTCCAATGCCTGAGCATCCTATGGGGAAGGAACTGCTCCTAATATCCAACCTAAACCTCTCCTGGCGCAGCAGTTTCCCCTCAACAGAGCTGCCATCCTTGAAATGGCCTAATGGTCTCCAAACATTGCCTTGTGTTAATAGAGCTCTCCCAGTACCAACAGATGTCTGCAGAAGGAAAGATTTTATGGAAAAAAAAAGGCATTTCACAAAGCAGCTGTAAATGGCCAGTGAGCCACCTGAACACAACGCCAACTGGACACAATTCTTCCACTGCAATGTAAACAATTCTATAATGGAAAAAAGTTGGAGTTATGGAACCCACAGAAGCCACATTTTAACTGGAATAAGGAATAAAGCATAAACGGTTCATTTAGAGTGATGAAGTGTGGAGCACTGGAACTTGGAGTCAGCCAAAGGAAAGCAGAAGAATCCTGTGTCCTCCTCTGGCAGTGGAGCCCGGCTGTCCTGCTAGTCAAATGGACAACATCGAGCAGCTTGGCAGACTGCATGCAACATCTCCGACATCTGCTTTTGTTCTAGCTCAGCTATGAAAGCTTACACAGAGCAATATACTTTCACAAAGCCGTGGTTACCAAGCACCCCAAAACAATGGCTGGCTAAACAGGACTGGTTGCAATGAGGGTGGGGGATTGGGAAGAGTGGGAGGGTCACTGCATGTTTCATAATGGAGGTGCCATTTTGCCTTATATTTAGCAATAGTGGTGGTTTAACTCTGCATGGAAGAGGGAATCAACTTCAAATGGGCTTTAGGTTCCAACCTTTGGAAACTCCAAGTCAATTTACACTCAGCTGTTTTCTCTGTGGTCCTTTTTGCACCAGAAGGATTAATTCGCATACAATTTTTTAATCCTCCTCACAAACAATAACTCATTTGCCCTCTCCTCCTCCTTCCTCGCATAGGGCCACATTAAATACTCTGAGTGTTCTGCCTCTCTGCAGTAGCTCAGTTTATTTTAACACCTTAGGAAAACCTCTGTGGTATCCCCTCTTTGACTCTAACTACACCTTTACCTTTGAAAAGGGCCTTTGCAAACCAGCTTCAAACCCTGTAGTACCAGACAACAAATAATAAACGCAGGCGATTTAGTAGACACGCTGCTTGCCAAACCAGGAAGAGTTGCTGAAATTCAAGGCATGTAAGATCCTGAACACCAACTGTCTTTCCCTCACCCCCTTCCAATGACTTTTTTTCCTCCTTTCTCTTTTAAGTTGCACGAGGCACTAACAAGGGTGAACGGAGAAGAAACTGAGAAACATTCTGCTGACTCAAGTGAGAAACATTTGCTTGCCACTACTGACGACCAGAAGGAGCCTGTGGTTAGGCTGGAATGTGATTTGTTAGAAATAGCTGTACGATTTACAAATCAAGCAAGACAAGATCTAGTCATCAAGATCAACTCAACATAAATCCATTTTTAGCAATAGTAGTTTAGGGGAGTTTGGAAATCCCTATCTAGACAATCCTAATGCCTCACAGAAGGTAACTTCGAACTCTTGAACCACCAGGCCTTCAGAGAAGTTTTAGTTCAATGACTGAAGGCACCCAAGTTAGAATAGACACTGCTAATTCATAGAAATAAGTTACTTTAAATCCTGTATTATGAGATTTTTAGAAAATGCAATCTTTTAATTTATAATTGGAAATTCATCAGTGCAAGTAGAAAGAGACGGCAGGCACATGTAAAAGAAAAATCAAGAATTTAAAACCCATAGAAACATGCTGATATGTATAATCCTTACAACAGAGAAATTTTTAGCATAAGGAAAAATGACTGAATATCCAATTAAAAGTTAGTAATATTTTCAAATTACTAATCAATCTGTGCACCTAGACTGTGAACATAGTAACATCTATAAACAAACTCCATACCAAGCGTTAGTTTCTCACATGCCCCTTCACAGCACAGCCATCCTGCTGAAGTGATACGAGCACAAGAACAACTCCATCTAATTTTAACCTTTTATTTTGGGGGAAGATATAATTTTAGACTGGCTCTAACTTAGAAACATTTCACAAAGAAAAGTGATATGTCTGCCAGCAAGAAAATATTACACTGAACTCACTGCTGAACTTCATGCACTAAAAAACTGCTTCCCTCCATGGATACACTGCTTTCCATACCGGGTTCAAGACTCAACCCTTCACAGGGGGGAAACGTGTCATGCTATTTGATTAAGAGAAATTGAAAAAGTAGAAGCTTGCTTCCCATGGGAAACATCCTGCAAGTGTTGCCCCAGGCTGCAACTCATCTCATACTTATCTATGGAGTCAGTACACCTCTCAAGAAAGTAACCCCACATTACAACATCTTTTTT